CATTGATTTTGAAGTCAATGTCATCTGATGCTGCCACCAAGTAACTGGTGAAACCCCAAAAGCTTTTTGCTTGGTTATAGCTAGTTTCCTTGAAATGTGAGGTCCTGAAGACATGGAGTTTTGTATCCGGGAGGAGGTTGTCCTGACTATGAGCAAACTTTTATGTGGAATAAAAACAGTATTTTTTCAAGTTCTGCAGTCGTTTTCTGCAACTCACTGAAAAGCAGAACACAACCTTAATAAAACAGTATGACTATTCAAATAGTATGAGTTATATGGTCAACAAACAAATCATTCACATAGTTTCCTGGACTAAAGGCAGTATTTTTGAGGACAGAGCAAGCAAAATGCAGCTTCATGTTGTTAACTCTGGTCTAAAGACATTTTAGACCTGGTGCTGCACTTGAAGAACAATGTGTTTAACTGAATATGTTTCATCCTTTCAAAATATAGCTTTTATATCAATATTCTGTACTCAGTGGTACAGCTCAGCTTCTGTGTTCTTTTACCTTAAGCTTTTACAGAGCTCATATCTAATAAAGTCATCCTTTGTACTGGAACCAGACATAATGACTAATAAATAGAAAATATTCAATTTAATAGTTAATAATGACTATTAAACAGTAAATATTCTCTGGCTACAGACATGACAGTGTTGAATGAGCAACCTTAGGTGAACTGGGACTGTCAGCTGCCAAGAGCTACTTCAGACACAGCAACTCCACAGCTTTGTAAGATCTTGGTATTGTAGATTTATAGACCAGATTCACACTGAAGAAATACCTAATTGACACATTTAATACCTAAATGGCACATTTTGACACACTCTGTGCAGAAGGCTGTAATTGTTTAATTAACAATCATAGATTTATTGCCATTCACTCTCATTGTTTGGTAGACTTTGAGGGAGAAAAGCAGTGTAAGACATTGGTGTCTCAGACAGCAGACTGACTGCATGAGCAGAGGCTTGGAAAGCTGAGACTGTTTAGCCTGTGGAAGAGAAGGGTTGGTTAATCCATAAATGGGAGGGAATGAAGACCTAATCAGAAAATGAGAGGGAACTCAGTGGTTCCCTGGGAAAGGATGCGAGTCAATGGGCACAAACTGAAAGACAAGAAAATCCACGTGAACAGAAGGAAACACGTTTTCATTGTCAGAGTGGTCAAACACCTGAGCAGGTTGGTCATGAATCTTTCATCCTTGGAGATACTCGAAACTCATCTGGCCTTCGTTTCGGGCAGCTGGCTCAGGCTGGCCCTGCCTGGGCAGGGGTTGGCCTGTAAGACGTCCTGAGCTCCTGCCAACCCCAGTCACTGAGATGGGTGTGACTAGGGAAGGAATGCTTTCTCCGCACATAAGCACTCCTGCAAAATATTTATGAGAAGACACATTCGAAGCTATTAACTGATCATATATGAAGCATATATTGTCCCGAATAGGTGGCTGTTAGTCAAAAGGTGCGTCGTAAATTTTTTAATTGTTTGATTTCTGTCAACTCCTTCATGCGCGTCTCTCGAGAAACCCGATGGGGCACAGCAGGACGCTGCGGGCCGGGACCCTCCCTGAGGTGTGAGTCCCCTCAGGGACG